GGGGGCGGTAGAAAAGAGTTAACTTTTTTAAAAGATTTTTAGTCTGAGTAACTCTCATTGTAAAAGTACCAAAAAAGTGTTTTTGTTTGAAATGGAGTGAAAAAAACTGTTCAAGTATGTGTATAGTCTGGTGTAGGTGGGTTTCTGATAACAATCAACATTAAAACGTTTTGTTTGTTGAAAACATATGTGTCAAGAAAAGGTGAACTTAATTAATGCTAACATATTTAGAATTCAAATATTTTACAAATTTCATTAATTGATCTTAATTTTTCAATATTTTAAATATGTCATCAGCATAGTGATAGTAAATAATCAGTTTGTACTCAGTAGGACAATCCCTCAATCAACTATTCTCATGAAAGCACATGAAAACAGCCATTTCAGGAGCTAAGCTAAACCCTATGCTGACTCTATCAATTCGTTCATAAAAGTCATCATTAAACTGAAAAACAGTTTTTCCTGGCTAATTCCATCAGTTGTTTGAAAGATTGTCTACTTAGTCCATTAACACATCCCTTCTCTTTGAAAACAAAATCAACACAAAGGTTAATAGTCTCATCTAGGGGAAGGTTAGTGAACAGAGATTCAATATCTAGACTGGCTAAATAAACTCTTCATCAAACCTCAAATTTCTAATGTTATCGGGAAAAAACCAAAGCTGTCTTTTACTGTGTAACTATTAAAAGTAAAACCAATTAAATGCAAACATAAGACTTTAGAATTTAGCAGGAATATAATCACTTTGTTTTCTCTTGAAGCGGTAGGGTGTTTCGATAGTTTATAAAAATTAATAGTTTTACTAATTACCTGTGTTACTTTGTCAATGTAATCTTCTTTATCCAAAATAACTGTACCGTTTCCTTTGTCTGGTTTAATAATGACAACATTACCGTTAGATTTGAGCGTGTCTATGACTATCAGTTCTTTTTTGCTGAATTGAATAAAAACCCTATTACACGAGCGCTTTCGAAAGATGGACCTTTCTTCTTCTTCAGGGACACCTGAAGAAGAAAGGTCTATCTTTCGTAAACGTCTATGTCTGTAGTAGTTATTTTGGTGTAAAGTTAATAGTTTAGAGAAAATATATCAATCACCAAGGGTGTTCGAAGATTTAAAAGCGAAGATTTCGAAAAGCGCTCGAGTTATAGGGTTTTCATTCATTTCTATCAAGACTTATTGAACCTACGTGTTTTTCTAACACCATGAAAGTTCTTCTTAGCTGATGTTAAAGGGACGTTCTAATCCCAAATTCAAGAACAGTTCAAGCATTTTTTGGCATGCATAAGTGAATATAATGTAGTCTCAATTCCTATTGTATTCAAAGTAATCGGTAAAGCCGTAAACGAGACTACAGATAAAGGAAACGCTCATAATCTTTCCAATGAAGCCTAGACTAAACAATCGGCAAACAACTACTGAACTTTCAGTCGCAACGTTGCCTGTTAGCCTCGTTTCCAGACAAAAAATATTACTGATTATGTTAGGTACCGTTGCTTTTATCACAAATCTTTGTGTTCGTGGATTTTCACTTGTTCAAGAAACTGCACTTTGCTTACCACGGCTGAATTACGATTTGTATATAATAGCACATCTTTTTACCTGGATGAACCTAATTCCCCAACTTAATTCAACTTTTATGCTTTCTAATGTTAATAAGAAAAAGGGATATCCCCATGTTGGAAAATCTAAAGCCCCAATCTGAACATATCTTTATGATCTGAATGTATGAATATTTTGCATTTACAAGGGCTGTTACATACCCTTCCCCAAAATCTATCATTTATTGATGGCATCACACTATATCTCTTAAAAGCCAAACAATGTCAAAATGTATCTTTGGCTCATATTATTCTACGTTATATCGGCCGTGGTTTGCCACGTGACTTGGTGACTTAATATTTAAAGTCCAATAATATAAGGTACTTAACACTATTAATGTTAATTTCAACTGTGACAAACAGGTCTGGTCTCACTTGAAATGTTAGACCCTCCTCCTCAAGCTAAAGCCGTCCATTAACTAATTTCAGAGCTATGTTATATTTGGCGCCATTATCATGAACCACGATAGTGGTTTATAATTGGGATCGCAAGGAATTGCACAAAACCCAAGTAGAACGTTAGGGCAAAAAGCACCTTAAACAATAAAGATTCAGTTCAAACAACATTTTAAAACCTTTACTATGGACTGCTAAGGTTATAAACATATTAAAATGCCCTCAAAAAGCACGCATATTAGATTTACGAGAAAAATTAAATCTGCTCAAAACGGCCCATTTGTAATTCTTCTTCTTATTATTATTCTCTTACCAGTCTACAACAAAAATGGATTGGTATATTGCACCCAAATATTTTGAATAATACTTAATAAGGCACCGCGAAGATCACAGGTGTATTGAAAAGTCGATTTATTTATTCTATATTTTACACTAGCAGAATATCCGACGTTGCTCCGATGAAAATGGCTTTAAATATCCTGAGCTGTTTTGACTAAATCAACTACAATAGCAATGTGCGAAAAAAATAAAATGTTAAGCTATTTTAAGAAAAGCAAAACCGAGTACATTGCTCCTGCTTCTTGCATGTGCTTTGCATGACATTTCAAGTTCCAAAAACATATTTCTTCACCTTTTGATGTCTTGATTTCAGCTGTGTGATCAAGTGTCATTTGCAGCATATACTGACTATTATCCTTCCATTTAATGAAGATTTGATTTATTCTGTTCTTGTTGCAACACAACGTAAGCGAAAATTTACCGATACCAAACGTTTTTGTAAAGTCATCGTATAACTGATTCTTGCGAGTATACGCAAGCAAAGCAAAATATATGGCGGAAGCAAGCCTATTTTGTTGAAGGAGTGTGCGAGAGAAAGCGCTAGCCTTTTTCAGTTAAGGGGAGTTAAAAGATAGGCATGTATGTGTAGAACAAAGAGAGAAGGGAGAAGAGCACAAATGAAGGCTCCCCGAAGTTTTTAAATCTCTTTAACACATATTTGATCATGATGGAATGATTAGGAGAATCCTCACATAGAGAAGAAACGAAGTTTGCTTTCTTACAAATATCTGATATTCTTTTTAAAAGCTTAAATGCAGGGAGAAACGGGAATTACCAGCCAATAATAGATGAACATTACATGATTGTAATGGGAAGATACTCAATGCTTTGTACATTATACAATCGGTGTCTTTAGGGAGCCAACCCCTATATTACGTATGAAGTGAATGAGTAAAAAAATCAGTACACATAATATTAACTTGTAATACATACATTTGTAGAATAATTACTTTAAAAGACACGAATGTCTATCTAAAGCGATGTTTTAGATGTATATTATTTATTTGAAAAAGCTGCTTTTCTACTGGTAATTTTTTTCATGCTTAGTGGAGCTGTGTCTTAGTCTAGGTATATATTTGCCTATGCATTATAATAGAGAATTTAGGTACACAGAAACTATAAATGCTCATTTTACTCTCAAACAAATCTCCAGCTACAGTTTAACATTTTACATCTTGAACTAATGCGATCAAATAGCCCATAGCTACAGTAAATCATCATAAACCGTATCAGCTAGCTACTAGTTATGTTTATTATCATTATAATGTATATGGTTAGCTACCATATCAAGTAATTCTTTGCCCATAGTTGAGCATAAAACAAGCTAGCAAAAATAATGATGAATAAAAAATTGGAAATTTAAAAATCAGCTGATAGGGATTGTAACAAAATAAGGAAACAAGGCTGGAGATATTGTAGACATTATTTACTGAAGCTGCAAATCCCTATTTTGACTCTTACAAATGTAACACTAGGTAACAGCATGGAGCCAAAAAAGGAGTTTGTAGTTTGAGTAAATAATGCCTACACTATCCCCAGCCTTGTTTCCTTACTTTCTTTACGATCCCTATTGGCAGGTTTTTAAATTCACATTTTTTTTTATTTATCTTGTATGCCCCATTGCCCATTTCCCATTGAATTTATACAAAAACAAACCTGACTGAAGGCACACTCTGGGTTGTGCATCCGTCAACTTGCCAAGTTAATTTAATTTTTTTTAATTATGTAAGATATATAGACTATCTGGTAGAGCGCTTTTTATGAGTTCATCGAACAAATTAAACAAAAATATATATGTTTTGATATATTTGGCTTTAATTCGTGAATTGTAGTTTTATTCATAAATTGTATTTTTTATCCTTAGTGTGTAGTTACTTTTCACTAAATTGTTATTATGTAAATTGTTTGTTTTAATTTGTATTGTATTGTTTTATTATGTCACATTTTCTTAATTTCATTAGTATATAATATGAATTGATGAATAAAGTTTTGTAATACCGAAAAGAACGAATAAGCAGTTTAAGAAAAATTTCCTAAAATAACTCTAACTGGAAACCCAATGAAACCTTTGCACTTCTGACAATTTGCCTGTCTTTTTCAGATACCATGGTTAAAATGATAATTTTACAGATGGCGCTAAGTAGAAGTAAAGTATCAAAATGGTGTACGAATGGTAGTATATATTGTATCAGTATTACTCACATCTGGCACAAATTTTGATGGCCACGGACGTACGGTAACGGGTAAGCAGTTATTTGTTGTTTATTTTTTTTATTAGTTAGGGTCATATTTGTTCGTGTTAGGAATGAATGTTTAACGCAACTGTAATATTTGTTTTTATGAATTTATTAACTTAGTTAGAAGTTGTAATTAGAAATGAAGTTAGACTGAAATAATGGATAGTACAATATCAGTATCATGAATGCAACTTGCAAGGCCGAAGAAAAATGTTGTTTATTTGAGGCATCAAATGCTCAAGGGAAATGTTTGGTACTGCTACTTAGTATTTTTTGGGGTCCCTAACATTACATACTTTGTCAAAAAACTCCAATATTGGGGAATAAGTTTCTTATTGTCAGTAATCAGTAAACCTGAATCCATAGCTTTTACTTTCACTTTTTTAGTTTTACTTAGTTTCACATTAAATGATTAATTGAAAAAGTAGTTACTGTACTATTAGTATTACTAAGACATTAATTTTTTATCATGTCTTATATAATAAGAAAATAAAATTGGCATTTGTTTTTTATTTCTTGTCTATATATAATGTATTACTTTTATTAAATGTGAGATAAAATAGAAGAGATTTCATTTGGAAGCTGTTTTTTTTTATTTCAACCATAAACTGAATAACATCTTGCAAGGTTTGGCCAGCTTAGGAGATTTAGGTTAGTTCAAAATACATATATTAAATCTAAAGTATATTAATAAAATTATAAAGTAATCACATTTTGTATATTAATACTAATAGCATAACCAATACTGTTAATGAAAGTAGTAACAACTCAATAATATAGTAAACCTTAATTGGGATCACAAAAATACTTCTTGTTGGCTGGAAATAATGTCATAAAAGTATATTTCTTTTAAAAATGTAACCTAGTGTAATATGCCTTATTTTTCTTTCTGATTTTCCCAAATGTGTCTTGACCAATGGAAAATGTAAGCCACTCCTTCTCTTTGACATTGACAAACTTATGGTAACACATATTGATGTTTAAACTGCATCAAGTTAATAGCAGTAATTTTGTTATTGTGCAACCAAAACATTTGGTTTATGAAGACACAAAATAAGGTTAAGAAAATAATATATGTGAACTGTTCATGAAAACATAACAAAGTTAAATGTAATAGAAAAAAAACAACATGCTAAAAATCCTGTGTGGTGTGTCTAGCACTGGTACTCATACTTTAACAAGCCCCTGACTTTTAACAAATGCATAGATCTGGCTACAAGAAGTAATAAACAATGTTAAATCTTCTGCAAAAGCCAAAAAGGAAACGCCTCTAGAAACTTCAAGAAATATATGACTTAAAAAGGGAAGTTACAACACTGCTTAATATGGCAAAGAAAGTAATTATAAAAAAAAATCATTAAATTAATGATATAGTATAATACAATATACAGAACTGTTATATAACTAATATTAACTATGTATAATAAGAACTTAAATTAATAGAAGGTAAAAACCAGTGGTGGCCTGTATACTAAAGTGGTTCATTATTATCATGAACAATATTCAATGAAATTAAATTTGATAAAAGAGTTAGCACAAAGGATCACGTATAAAGTGTAATAGACTTAAAATAAGACCCAAAACTCAAGCACTTTTGAATAGTTGACTGTTCTTCTTCAGGAGAACAAAGGGACTTAATTTTGTTCTCCTGAAGAAGAATAGTCAACTAATCGAAAGCACTCGAGTTTTGGGTCTTATTTTAAGTCAATGAAATTAAAAAATATAGATGTGAAGTTTTTTAAATGTTGGGATACACTGTAAATATTCTGAACCTATAATCTGTAATACATTATACACGTGTAAACCTTTTGTAGGTTTCAAATTGTTAAAAGATCAGAGAACAATGTTCAATATTTCTTTCAGGTTTTCCAGGTTAGTTGTGTTTTAACCATTCTTGTTTCTTGATAAATCCAATTAGTGTATCTAATAAGTTTGTCCTTGATGTTTGCTTAATTTTTTAAACTAAAGCTTCACAGTAGCCTTAACATTATGTAAGTAATAAGGTGATTGGTACTTGTTATAATAATACAGTAGTTTGAGTTTTTTCTCAGAACTACTATCATAGTAATAACTATGCAAGCTGACAAGTTTCAGCCATTTCCTAATGTTGGCTTGTATGTTTATTTAGTTATTACTTTAGGGTTATATCACTAAACTTGGTATTTAGTCACTTTACTGTGATTCCTTGATTTATACTGTAATGCTACTGACTTATAGGAATAGGGTGTTTCTTGAAAGATTAGAATTCTGTAGATTTCACAGAACCCCTGTTTACTGATTCTTATAGTAGCCTTAGAATTTGATACTGGAGACCATAGGGATCCTTTTGGCTTTTTATACAGATTTTTTTAAACTACTTGTGCGTCAAATTTCTTATGTGAGAACCCCACTGGTAGTCAGTAGTTTTTAAATAAGTTGGTAAACTGAAGGCTAGTTAGTTACATCAGTCCTAACTAATCTTAATGTATAACTAGACTCTTTAACTACTTTCGATCATCAATTCACTGCTTAATAATAAATATCTGTTTCTAAATCATGTTTGTTAATTCTTCCTGTACAAAATGTTTCTGAATACAACATTTTTTTTATTGCCTTTTTTTTTAATCGAGCTTAATACTTATCACTTTCACTGAAGGAACTCGTGAAAGTACCACATATAATTGTGCACGTGTGAATACGTTTCATTCAACACCACCTATAACACTTATGCCTCCTTGCTTCTATGAAAAAATAAGAAAACCTTTAACGTGTGCATACAGTTCTGGTGGCGATCCTACTGTTATTTTGGTGTGAGCAGAGTGTGAAGCAACAGTGATTGGTCAGCTTTGTTTGGGGTCCACATGAGTGCCAGTTGGGCTTGACTCAAACCAAGGTGTATTAGGGACAAAAGCATGCATGAGGAATGGAAAAATGATTTTAGTATATGTTAGGATAAACTGTTCTGTAAAAATGGATAAAGATAAAACTTCCTTTCATAAGCAAACAGGCATTGAAAATTAGGACATTCTAAGTTTTGGACTGATCATGAAAATGAGTTTTTAGTACTGAAAAGTGTAAAATAAACTTTTATCACAGGAATTTATTGAAAAACAGAAAAGAACTTAGTGTGATTTTTGGTTGATGTTCAAGGCTTTCAGCTAAGTATACATGTAGGTGGGACTTAGAATGCTGCATGTTCTGATATCTGTTTGTAAAAATTTAAAGTTAAATTATATGAAAAGAAAGACAGAACAATATTCAATCCATTGAGATTATTCCAACTTAGTATATACTTTCATGAGGTCTAATTACACATCACTTACTCCTGAAACACTTCTAACCATAATTTGCTCATTTCTATTTTGTAAACCATCAAATTCAATAAAATTGTGTTGATTTAAACTAAATCACCACCTTAATTTTTAGATTGTGTCAACTATTGATTGAAGAGATTTATCCTCATTGAGGCTTGTACTAGGTAAAATTAAATGTAATTAATTAAAAAAAATGTTATATAATATTGCACTAGTCAAATAAATACAGATAAAAATACTTCTTCATCCCATCATTTTGAGAATTGTGTTTTACTCTCCTTTAAAAGAGAACCTTTGTTTCTTAAAACATTGTATGATTTTATTTTTAGATGTATTTATTTAACTACTGTAAAAATAACAAATATGTTTTTCATTATGAAATGTGATTTTTAAGAGCATTCAGTAGATGAACATTTCACAATATATATTTTGTCAGTGAATGGCAAGATAAATGCAGGAAGTGGTGAACTTCAACTGGTGTTCTGATATCAGTCAAAATATTATAGAAAGTCACTTTACTGTATTATACATCAATATCTTTTAATGTTTGAATATTTTTATAATACTTTTATTATTCTAAAGGAATATATCAAGTACATTATGTTTGTTATTTATCTGAATTTAATTTTTTCTAAACATTTTTATACAAAAGATATTATTTGATGTACTCCTTGTGTAGACGATAGTATGGTCAACCACTTTTCAACTCTTACCCATGTTCATTGCTAAGATCGTTCTTCGAAGTTGTTTTTTTTGTTGTTTCTTGACTTGCCGGTCGAGTGTGGCCCCGAGGTTTTTGATGGGGTTCATGTCAGGAGATTGGCTTGGCCAGGGCAACTTCTGGATACCATATTCTTCCTGCCACTTTT